GGTAACATGGGCAATGACCCTCAAGGCTAGGGAATTCTGGGAGTTGTAATCCAAACAGTAACATTTCCAAACACTGGTTCGGAGCCACATATTAGTGTTGGAATTGCAAGTTAAGTAGGCTTCATTAAAAAAAAAACAACAACAAAAAACGGACAATATGAAATCCTTCAGCATTTCTAATTGTGGATAATTGGTAAAATTATGTTCATGTAACTGCATGGGTTTTAATTGCAGATGAATATTCACACATTTTATGACACACTGATGTTAGCTCTACAACACTAGTATTTTGAGGCTACAATTCTAGGCATGTTTATCAGATAAGTGGGTTTTATGTATCACTAAGCAAGAGTAAGATGGGGAGTATGTATTTTATATCATTTTAAAAATAGCATTCTCTTGCTATTGCTGTGCAACCATTTAGAGTTTTCTAAGCTCAATTCATAATAAGCATAATAAACTTTGACCCTTCAGATTTTTTGATCTTCAACTCCCAGAAGCCTGTATTGGTATGGCCAATGGTAAGAGATTATAGCAAGTGCAGCCTAAAACTTCTGAGCTCCTTACTACGCCATAGTAGGTGAGTCATTTTTGTTGTGTGCCTTCAGGTTGTTTCCAGCTTGGTTTTCTTGGCAAGATTTGCTCAGAGGGGGCTTGTCACTGCCTTCCTCTGAGGCTGAGAGAGTGTAACTTGCCCAGGATCACTCACTGGGCTTACATGGACAAGCAGGGATTTGAACCCTGATCTCCCAGAGTCCTAGTCCAACATTCAAACCTCTACATTCTTAATACAAAGTTTCTTTTAAAAGTTATACTGAACAGGATGGTTTCTGAGCACTTAACTGAACTAAAGTCCTGGTGAACAGTCACTGTGGAGATGGCAAACCCAAAATACTTCTGTGAACTGACCAAAATGCCCCATGGAGAATAGCAAAAGTTCAGGATGTGCTCACTGGTTGCTTTCTCTGGGAACCAAAGAAATCTCCAAGCATCCTGGGATTCAATCAATGTAATGAGCAGACCAGTCAATGACAGTCTTGAAAAGCCAGCTATAATCGCCAAGGAACATTTTAATCAGTGGCATTCAGATTATAGATACCCTTGTCCTTTTTTGTGGGGTGGTGGTGGATAAGAATACTTTGTTTCTGGTATGTATAACTGCAATAGAGACTGGAAAAGCAAATACTAAAGACAGCCCTTCCTTTCAAGCAGTTGCTGTTCTCCTTATTAGCATGGAAGCAATTATCCAGATTATCTGTCTATTATAATGTTTTGATATAATGCAAAGTTATTTGCATGAACTGCTTAATGTGCTAATTGAAAAAGCTGACGATCAGTCAACTCATTTGTTTTAATTAGTTCACGGCTCTACTGATAACAAAAGTGGCACCTGACAAGATCAGTTGCTGGGATCCACTTTCCTTGGTGCCCATGTGAGCCCAGCGGCAGGTCCAGACATTCATTCAGGTGTCTGCTTCATCAGCTGCAGTCAGGATGACTATGGGTCAGAGAGAGCAGGAGTTGTAATACAACAACATTTGAGAAAGAAGCAGATTCTTCATTCTGGGATATGGATGAGAGGTGGCTTCTTTTCCCATCACTTACCGCCAGTCCAAGGAATAAGTGTTAATATCATGGCAGTGACCAATATGAATCTAAGGAAGGTAGCAAATGCTTTTTGTTTGTTTTTGTTCCAGATCGTTTCGGTTCCTCTTTCAAACAGGAATGTGATTCAGTTTTTGGGAAGCTAAGGTGCACCAATTAACTTCAAATGGACTTTGTAACACCCTCAGTCCTCCCTCCCAGCAGAGCACATGAGTCAGAGTGGCTTCCAGAGTGGTGTAGTGGTTTGAATGCTGGACTATGACTCTGGAGACCGGGGTTTGAATCCAGGCTCAGCCACGGAAACTGACCCCTCACTTAGTCTCAGAGGAAGGCAATGAAGAAACTTGCCAAGAAAACCCTGTGACAGATTTACCGCAAGTCGAAAATGACTTGAAGCACGCAACAAACAACAACTAAAACACACATACACAAGCTGTAGGCCCATGGATTAAACCCCGTTATTTGGCATTTTGATTGATCCGCTGTCTGGCTCCTGACTGATCAGTACATTAAATGAATATATCTCAACGAAGGTGTCATTTTGAAGTTGTTTTTAGTGGAGGCTACCTTTTCCTTGCCTAGCTAGCGTTAGCTAGCCAAAAAGCCCTGGTGGAATGACTTCCAGTATCATTAGAATACTCCTATCTCTTCTTGGCCTTTAAGATTAAGTGCAGGAAGAAACTGTGAAGATGGGAAAAGCACTCCTAAGGAGAGCTCAGAAGTAGTTTACCAGATTCTCAGTAAGTCACATCTTTTCACATCCCAGGAGTTTCAGCAGGTGTATGGAGGCAAAATGGCCCTCTTTCTTACTTTCCTCTCCACCAGAATAGGTGCAGGATGGAGCTCTCTTCCTGCTGCTCCTTCTTGGCAGATGAGCTCCAAAGCCCAGCGTCCCCAGGTACCCAAAGCCCAGCATCTCTCATTCCCCTTTCTTCGTGGGAGTCTTCAACCTGGATTGGAACTAGCATGAAACTCCTCCGCTGCATCCACACTGAAGCGGTGCCAAATCGGAGTATTTCTGCAGTGCAGATGCAGCCCTCCTCTCATCTCTTCTTTTCATTCCTGCGCCGCCTCCCGCCAAAACCCAACAATTAAGACCGACTCTTTTGCTGTGACATTTTGGGGGTTGTCATGGAAATGAGTGCAAGTTGAAAGGCAGGGAAGAAATATATTAGAATCAGGGGGGAAGAGAGAGAAAGAGAAGACACAAAATCACAAGGGCTGCCAACATGAGGGGGGGAAGGGGGGGACCCCAAAGCATGGTTGCTGTTTGTGCCTCAATGGGAGCCTCAGGCCACCCAGGGCTGGGGGCAGGAAGATTGGCCAGAGACCCCCCTCCACCTCCCTTTGAAAAAGCGGGAAAAGTGGAGCCACCTGGGAATGAAGGGCTTCTTCCTTCAGGGAAGCGAGGAGAATTTATTTGTCATTCATTGTTAATCTGTTATTTTTTAAGTATGTTTTAAACTTTGATGGTTTAATTGTATTTTGGGGATGGGGGTGGGCTATTGGGGGACAGGATTGTTTGTTTTATCATGTAAGCTGCCCTGGCTGTATTATACAGAGAGGCGGGATAGATAGATATAAATAAATAAATTATTATTATTATTATTATTGGTCCCAACATTTTGTGGGGAGAAAAGGAGAGGCCACTCCAGACTGGAGCGCTTTGAAACACAGCCCTACAAAGCCACCCCCGGGGCTGGGTTTCCAGAAGAGCCCCAGGCGGCCCACAGGGGAAGCAAGCCGCCCTCCTCGGAAACCGCGCGTGGGGCGCCTGGGCTTCTTCCTCCGTCTGAGGAAACCCACTCCACGGGCCTCTCCCTCGTCCCCACTTTCCCCTGGGTTGCTGAGGGAGAGAGGGCAAAAGCGGCTCGTCCCCTTGCCTTGCCTTGCCTTGCCTTGCCTTCTCCACGTCCTGAGTGGGTGCCTTGGCATGCACTCCCCACGCCCTCAAGCAGCTCCTCCGTTCCTTGCAATGAGGGAGCGCGACCCTTTGCAGAGCAACTTTGGCGCCTCTCTAGTCCCATGAGAGTCCCAGCAAGACCGGCGGGGGAAGGTTAGGGTTAGGGGAGTTGCAGACTGCCAGGAAGAGTGCAAATTGAGTCCACTTTGAGGGTTAGGGTTAGTGCTAGGGAATCATGGGAATTGTTGTTGTTTTTCTGAGACATTGAGCCTTCTCTGTCAGAGAGCTCTGGTGCCACAATAAAATACAGTTCCCATGATTCCCTAACTCTAACCCTTAAAGTGGACTCAATCTGAACTATTTCTGGCAGTCTGCAAAGGCCCTCAGTCTGGTCCTCAAAGCTCCGCGGAGGAGGAAGAGGCAACGTCCCACCCCAAGAAAGGGCCACCATGCTCTCCTTCCAATTGCCGCCCAGCCTCACTTCTCCAGAAGGTAAAGCAAGGAAGAGTTTCCCAGCTGAAAGCCCTCCCAGGGGGAGCAGAGAGAGAAAGAGAGGTCCCTCTCACCGCAAAGGAGGACCAGGCACCGCAAAATGGAGGAGGACCTTCGGGGAAAATGCAGGGGACGTCAGCCAAGAGAAGCGACAGAAATACACACACGTTCATGCTTCTTATTTATTTGGCAGGCTCCAATGGAGGACATGATGGAATCCTTCCTGGGCAGCTGGAGGTTAAAATGGAGGACACGTCCTGGGCAAGGAGGACATTGGTCACCTCTGAGCGCAAAATACGAGGACACTGGAGAAGAATGCGGGGATCAAAGCTTAAAACACACCCCTAGAAATGCAAAACTCATGCTTCTCGGTCCTGCTCAGAATGGAGGACATTATGGAATGGAGGACGTTATGGAATCCTTCCTGGGCAGCCGGAGGCTGGAATGGAGGACACGTCCGGGATAGAGGACACTGGAGAAAAATGCAGGGACGTGGTTAAAAAGTAAAAGCTTAAAAGACACCCCTAGAAATGTAAACTCATGCTTCTCGGTCCTGCTCAGAACGGAGGACATTATGGAAGGTGGGCATGTAGGACGTGTCCTGGGAAAGGAGGACACTGCAGCGAGGCAGGGGGTCCCTCCCCGCGAGGCTTACCTGCCAACACGCTCCTGCCGCTGGAAGGGGTTTGAAGGGATGGAGGGCTGGCGGTCTCTGCTTCTTTCTCTGCCTGCTCTCGCCAGCCAGCCCCTGTGCCTCCCTCCGGCGTGGGTCCCTCCCGAGGAGGGGGTCCAGGGGTCCGGCGGGGTCACTGGGGGTCCGGGAAAGGAGGAGGAGGAGGAGGAGGAGGCGTCGCGCCCGCCGCTGCTCCTCCGGGCAAGTTGAGCATCCCTCAGCGGACTTCCAACTGGGAAAGAAGTTAGGAAGGAGGGCAAGGACCGGGACGGGACCCGCCCAGGGAGGGCGTGGCCTCCCGCCCATGACGTCACCCCAAACTTTAAGCCCCGCCCACCGTTGTGTTTGGGGGGGGGGAAATGCAGGGCTGGTGCCTTGCTGCTCGCAGGGTGGCAATGCAGTGGGTCCTTGGTATCTATCCCCCGTTGGGTCCCCAGGTCTCCTCCTCCTCACCCCAAAGGAGGACAAGGCACCCTAAAATGGAGGAGGGCCTTCCGGGGACATGGAGGGACGGGACAAAGTAAAAGCTAGAGAAAAACCTTCATAGAAATGTTAACTTCTTAGTCATGCTCAAAATGGAGGACATGTTGGAATTCCTATGTCCTCACTGCAAAGGAGGAGAAGGCACCACAAAATGTAGGGCATTCAAGAAAAATATAGGACATTACAAAATGACATCTGAAACACTCATATAAATGTAAACTCTTGCATCTGGTCACCCTGTCCCCAGGTCATCCCTGACTCATGGTGACCCTGTGGATGATACATTTCCAAGCCCCCCCCATCCTCTACCTCCTGGCTCAGGTCCTGCAAGGTCAGGCCCATGGTCTTCCTGACTGGCCACATTACCGCACTACACTCTTATAGTGCTGCGATCCCACTTTTATTGCTCTGGCTGCCTCCTGTTGCATTCTGAGGCTTGTAGTTCAGTGAGGTATAAGAGCTCCCTGGCTGAGAATTCTCAATGCCCCTCCTTAAACTGCAAATCCCAGAATGCAACAGGAGGCAGCCAGAGCACTAATAGTGGAATAGCAGCTCTATAAGAGTGTAGTGCGGAAATGTGGTGGATCTAGCCATCTGGCATGTGTTATTCCTCTCTTTCTGCTGCCTTCCCCTTTCTCCAGCCTCACTGCTTTTTCTAATGAGTCTTTCCTTCCAGGTATGACAACCTCAATTTACTCATCCTGGCTTTCAAGGAGAGTTCAGGCTTGATCTGTTCTAGGATCCATTTTTCCTTCTCCTTCTCCTTCTTCTGTTGTCCACCCTCGAGTCAATCTCGACCAATGGTGATCCTGTAGATGAGACAAGACTCCTTGTCCTCCACTGCTCAGTTCTGCTCAGTTCCTGCAAATTCATACCCATTACCTGTTTTATAGAGCCTTTCCATCTAGCAAGCGGCCTTCCTTTCTTTCTGCTTTCCTCCACCTTTCCTATTATTATTATTATTATTATTATTATTATTATGTTTATGTTTATTTGTGTCCTGCCTTCCTCCCAGTACAGGGACTCAAGGTGGCAAACAAATCCAAAACAGTCTCAGTTAAAACAGTATAAAACATTAAAAATACAAAGTATACAAAATAATTAGACAATTCAAACAATTAAAAACATTACATTATTAAAATTTAAAGTTCAAAACTCTTTAAAACAAGAACAAAGCAGCATCCATGTCATGCGAAAGCCTGGCAGCATAAAAATGTCTTTACCTGCCACTGGAAAGTCAGCAGGGATGGGGCCATCCTGGCCTCTCTTGGGAGGGAGTTCCAGAGCTTGGGAGCAGCCACTGAGAAGGCCCTGTCTCTTGTTCCCACCACATGTTCCTGAGAGGGTAATGGGACAGAGAGAAGGGCCTCTCCCAATGATCTCAATACTCTGGGGGGCTCGTACAGGGAGATACGGGCCTTCAAATAGCCTTTATAGGTCAAAACCAACACTTTAAATTGTGCCTGGAAACAGACTGGCAGCCAATGGAGCTGTTGCAACAAGGGAGTTGTATGCTCCCTGTAACCAGCTTCATTTAACAGCCTGGCTGTAGCTCTTTGGACCAGCTAAAGTTTCTGAGCATTTATCAAAGGCAGCCCCACATAGAGCGCATTACAGTAATCCAAATGGCATGTAACCAAGGCATGTACCACCGTAGCCAGGTCTGACTTCTCCAGGAACGGGTGCAGTTGGCGCACAAGTTTTAGCTGTGCAAAGGCTTAGTGCTGAATCCAGAAGTACCCCCAA